GTCAAGATCCTACAATCAAAATCTTGGCTTAACCGGAAAACACAAATCAGACTCGGTCGAACTTGATTCGACTAAGTTGTTCGTGAAGTCCTGTGGACGTTGGAACACTTAGACTCGGCACTATACTCAACCAAACCACATATGGGAGTTCACATAAATCCCACTAAGGATTGACCAAGTCAAACACTCAACAAAATGAAAAGCAAGTCGATTATAGACTTTAACTTCAAAATCATATCTTGGAAATAATAACCAATAATCACATAAATTAGTTGGTCAGGTTTCACAATGACTTATGCCTTGAAATTTTAACCAAAATTACTCCTCCTAGTACTTAGAAGACCACCAAATATCAGCCTCAAATTCAAAGTACATTATTTTATAAAATTCATAGAAGATAACAGCAAAACCAAACATGAATTTACATCTAAACCTAATGAATGAATAAGGACCTGACATTTTAACACCACAACCCACAGCCTGAGGGAGACAACATGTAAACATTTCAGCCTGGACATTAACTGTACAAATTTTAAAAATTCATACAATTTTCTGCAGTTATCAAATTTCAACTTAAATCGAACCAAATTAAACTCCAAAAATTCTCATCTTTTAACAGCATTCATCTACACATAAAAGAAGCATTTAATCCAAGTTTCAGAATTTTTTAACAACTAACTGATATATCATAAATAAAACAACTTTCTGCAGATTCAGAAAATAAATTATTTATCCTACCAAACTTAGTCCAAAAATTCTAAACATTTTACACAGCATATAAATATGACAGTGGAATAACATACTCAAATTTCAGCACAATTGAAGCACGAACCAATTTATTAAGCATTTGACATGATTCTGACCAGAAATCACTTTATTTATTACAAATAGCTACAGGCTTTTAAAAATTACGAAATTTTTACAAAAGCCTGGCAATCAGCAGAAGGCATGACCCTCAAAATTTCAAGCCAATCCGAGCAGTGTGCAATTTTTAATAATTCTAACACTAAATTAGCGATAATCGGGTTTGACAATTTAACACACAATTCATAACATATTGTTCTCATCCGAGGTCTTCCCAAAAGACCAAGGACTCGACATTATTCCAATATCCACAGTATTCGCCGAGTTTCGAGGTCTCGTTCGATTCTTTATAATCGAAGATATCCCCGAAAACACAAACACACATTATATCAGAATATTCACATAATATCACATGGCATACATTAATCTCAAGGTAATTCACGTCAATTAAACACAATACACAAACAATATATATATACGATTTAAACAAGACGGGATTCGACTAGGTACCGTTCTCGGGAAAAGCTCGAAAAAAAAGGAACGAAAAAGGAGAGGGGCGAGCTCGCGGGATAGCGGCGGTTGCTCAGCTGCTTCGCTCGACTCGCGAAGGGAGGACATGCGGCGGAGGGAGGATTCGTCGCTGCGGCTGGTCATGGCCAGAGGTCGCTCGTCGAGGTGCTGTTCGAACGGAGGATTGCCGGAAAGCTACGCGTGGAGGCTGTTCGTGATCGGGAACTCGCGATGGCTCACCGGAGTTGCAGAGACGCGACAAGGATCACGGACAGAGGAGGTTGCGTCGTCGGAAGTTCGTGGACTGCTCGCGGGTGGATCTAGGGATGAAATCGGTCGGAAACGGTCGAAAAGCTCCTCTATTGTTTTCTACTTTTATATTTGAATACGAACGCGGAAGCGGAAACGGTATAGCCGGAAACGAAAACGAAAACGAACTTATGGTATTTCGAAAACGAATCAATTCGAGCGGAATTATGTCGAACACGGCCGGTGTACGAAAATTCAATACGAAATACCGACCCACGGTGCACAACATTAAACATGTGAATGACCAAACTAACAAGTGCATGATTTAGTTCAAGTGCACATAATAGTTAAAAGGTGCATGACCTTAAGTATCATCACAACTCAAAAGTCTAGAACAAGCAATGAAGCAATTAATAGGACACAAACATCTACAGTTCATCAGCATCATCCATGATGTCAGGACCACTTTCCATGTCCTTTGCTTCCTCATTGTCCTCATCTCCTTCCTTGTTATTTTCCTACAAGTTTGTAAAAGTTAATTAAAATTGTCCTCAACAACAATATAAAGTCAAAATCGAATTCTGCATAATAAAAATTGTTGATATAGCTCATATATTGACAAAGGAAGGAGGCAGGCCGATGCCTGCGAGCGGAGGTATTTATGTAAATTTATACCTTGTAGATTACAACAAAGTCCAATACTACCAGAGGAAACAGTCAATAAACATACCTCAATTTTCAGTTTAGCCACAACATTAGTTAAAGCGTCAACCTCAAGATCACTCACAATTGATCCAAGCTTTTTAGAATCTGAAAAAAAAAAAATAAAAAAAACAAAAATTCAATGCATTTCTGCTGCAATTACAAGTATCAAACCAAAAAAAAAAAACAAGTAAAATGAGCACCTTTACTTGCTGCAGCAACCCAATCCTTTGTGCAAATTAATGCCTGTACCATCTCGGGATCAAGCCGACTGCGATAGGGATCAACAACACGGCCAGCAGCACTAAAAGCAGACTCGGATGCTACTGTTGACACTTGTATGGCCATTACATCCCGAACAATTTGTGAAAGGATAGGATACTGCTCTCTCTTGTTTTTCCACCATGCTAAGATGTCAAACTCACCACTAAGTTTCAGTAGTGGTTCTCCAATATACATGTCCAGCTCATTTGACTCAACCATACCAAGTTCACTTGCTTCATATAAGAATTCTTCTAAGTCATGGTCTATATTTTCCATTAATATATCAGTTGTGTTACTAGGTCTGGGTGCAGCCCCTTCTCTAGTTTTCTTTGATGATGCAGCAATATTAACATAAAAGTTGTACAGTTTCTTTACCACAGTAACAAACTCATCAAGTTCAGCTTGATAATAACCACCATAGAACTTCTTCATGTAGTATTCTATCAGCCTTTTCTTATACCTAGGGTCAAGAAAACAGGCTACAGCTAGAGCAATGTTGGACTGATCCCAATATTTGTCAAATTTTGACTTCATAGAAATTGCCATTTCTCTAATTGTAATATTTTCATCATAGCGCCACTCATCAAGCAAGACCTTGATATCACAGAAACCTCTATAAAATAAGTTTGCAGTAGGGTATGAAGTGCCAGAGAGAATTTCAGTGAGATCATAAAATTTCTTCAAGCAACCATAAATTGTCAATGCATTGTCCCATTCAGCAGAAGATAGAGAAATCTTGGCATACTTACGGCGATCTGAAGACTTCAGCCTAATAAATGCATCCTTGTAGTACAAGGCATCTCGCAGCATTAGGTAGGTAGAGTTCCACCTTGTTGAAACATCCATTTGAATACCCCTCTTTGTATCCAACCCAGCTTCAGTGGCACACTTCATAAGCTCTTCCCACTGCAATGGAGACCCTTTCACAGCTAATACAAGTGATTTGATCTTGCTGAGTGTTCCTGAAATGACTTTCAACCCATCTCTAGCAACCAAATTCAGAATATGGCATGCACACCTTACATGAAAAAATATCCCATCACAAACTAGGGAACCATTACCATTGTCTTTCAGATCTGAAATTATATCATTGACAGCCACTTCATTTGAACTAGCATTATCCAAAGTCAGAGCAAACAGTCTATTTTCAATGTACCATTTAACCATAACTTCAGTGAATGTTTCAGACAACTTTGCACCGGTATGCCTACCTTTTACATTGAAAAAACCAATAATTCTCTTTTGCATATGCCAATTATCATCTATCCAATGAATAGTAACACACATGTACCCTTTGTTTTGGCATGAGGTCCACATATCCATTGTTGCACTAAAGCGGCACTTCATAGTCTTCAAGTATGCATACAAAGTTTCCTTTTCTTCAAGATATCTGTCCATTATTTCTTTCCTAACAGTGACACGGGATTTTATCGGAAAGCTAGGACGGAGAGATTTGATGAAATCAACCAAATACTCATGCTCAACTATATTGAAAGGATATTCATGCATGATTATTGCCAAATTTAATTTCTTCAAGCTAGCTTCTTGGTCAAATCTGTAAGGCTGAACATGAGCAATTTCAGAACCAGGGTTCTTACCAACTTTAAGCTGTTGTTGTCCCTTCACAATACTGTGTTTTGAAAGTAAATGGTGCTTGAATGAAGTTGTGCCATTGATGCCCTCTGCTCTGTATTTCTGCTCACACCTAGAGAAATTGCAGTGTCCCCACAACTCCTCAACTAGCTTTCCTTCCATCTCTACATACTCTTTTTTCTTGGTGAAATAACTCCAGACCCACGATGTCAATTTCTTAAACCTCTTGCCAGAAAGGCGAGCTTGCTCATCATCCTCTTGTTCATCATTGTCGACATTAATTGGCACTTGAACCTGCTCTGTTGCATCAATCTCAACTGATGCTGCCACTGATGCTACTGTAGCTGGACTTTCACAAGTTCCACTAGATGCAACACTTTGAGATGCTTCCCTTCTACTCCCTGATCCTACCAACAACCAAGTGAAACATTGCTAAATTAGAAAAAAAATAATCTAAAATAGCCAAATAATCTAGCAAAAAGATACACGGACGGCAAATCACCTTAACATCTATTGGTAGGGTTCAGGTTATTAACATAACATCATGGGATGGGATAGGCATGCAAATAGCGACACATACATTAAATTGGAACCTGGTAAGCTCACTTAAAGCAGTCCACGAGCCAATAAAATAAAGAGGAAAAGATGAAAAAAAAATAAAAAAATCTAGGACGTGTGAACCGGAACCCACGAGCGACAAATCATGCTGGGGTCATAACTCATATGCATACATAGAAGCTTACAGAGGCTCGGAAATTCACCAATAAAATAAAATTGACCCGAATAAAAGGGTCTTGAAAAATGGAAATAATTGATTAGATCTGGTGACCTGAAAGGAAAGAAATTTGACACCAACTAGTAGCAGTGCACAAACGAAAATGAATTTAGTGGTAGGAAGACGAACCTGCTGTTGGAGACGTCGTTGCAGCCTGTACGGGCGGCGGCTCTAGAAGGCTACGCACACTCCTCGTCTTGGGCTTGCTCCCCTTGCCCCCCTTTGTTCCAGGAGCAGAAGCACGATCTCCAGCAGATGCCATCGACGCGCGGGGTGGGGAGTGACGACCGGTGGCCGGCGGGGTGGGGAATGGCGACCGCCAGGAAGAGAGGAACGGAGAAGGCAAGTGAGGGAAATAGGGAATACGGGAGTGGAGGTGGGTGTAAATTGTCAAGCACTTAGGGTTGTTAACTTGGGTTGGGCTGTAAGTTGGCTACTGGGCCTGTGGGCCATGTGACCTGTAGGGAATATTGGACCAAATTTGAAACCTTCCGAATTTTAAATACGGTTGCATACCGAATATAATATAGAAAGGTAGAAATCGGTCGAAAAAGGCCCATATCGAATTCCGCTCCGTTTTCGAATTTTCTGTTCGAATTTCGAACCGAATTCGAATTATTCTGAAAAAAGTGAAAAACGATCGGGTCAAATGTAGAAAACGATGCGATTCGGTCGGGAAATTTCGTTTTCGTTTTCAACCCTAGGTTGATCAGACTCGCCGGAATCGCGAACAGAGACCGCCGGGAAAGCTGTTGTGCGTGGTGACGATGGTGGCGATCTGCTCTGAACGGAATTCCGCAGAGATGATGACGGGGATGATCGGACGATGAAGAGACGACGAGGATGGTGGCGATGGCGTGATGATCGGATGAAGATGATGATGATGGTGAGAGATCGTGGCAGCGATGATGCACGGAGGGGGTGATCGGAACTGCTGGTGACGACGGGAAAAACAGAAAACGAAAAAAAAAAGCGAGAGAGAAAGTGATTGGACTGAGGTCGATTTTCTGTGCGAGAGTGACGATTAGATTTACTCTGACTTGCTCGATCATGGAAAAGAAAAGAAATCTGATTTGAGGGAAAAAGCTGCGGGATCGAAATTCTGACGAGAGGGCGATTGATACAAAATTTGTATATATATATATGCACATAAATTAGGTTTGACTATTCTTGTCAAGCAAGAATAAATCCCACACATACACACACACATCAGATTTGTGAACCGGGTCTGGGCGAAATAGCGGGTTTGGGTCGCGGGCCAGTTCGGTTGGGCCGATTTGCACGTGGATTTCGCTAAAATAATCCGACCCTCGGGCTCGGTTTAATCGCACAATTAATTAAATAAAATAAAACCGGATATTTATTTAATACATACATATTTTAAAATAGTAATATTAATTATCAGATTTTACAATTAGCAATTTAATAGACAATTAGACATAATATTTGGACATTTAATTTGGCAAGCAATAATATTAATAACATCACAATACTAATAATAATAATAAATAATAATGCCAACATATCCGAAAATCAATTATTCAAACGGATCATATTTGGTTCACATAACTAAACTGAAATCGTCGTACGACGAACGCTTTCCACCAAAACAATCGAGTACTCCAACCTTTTATTTAAGTCGACATAGCGACCAATAAAATAAAATAAATATAACCTTATAAATAATATTCGATAAATAGAATATCCCGAGAAATTCTATATATCGAACGGGGCGCTACAATAAAACTGCTACAGACTATTCCTCGTAAGTTAAATCTGGCTGAAACTGAAGCTTCTGAAGCACATACTCTGGATCGCTCACATACTCACGTAACATTGATACTTGAAACACATTATGCACACTAGACACATCTATTGTCCAAAAGCAAGCTTTTAAACTTTTTGATCATCTTTCTCTACTGTCTAACCATTAGTATCATTGATGGAAATGCCAAACACTTTTGGCTTAACCTGCTATGACTCGGGACCTGACAACGCGGCACGTTGCATGTGATTTACCCACTACCCGGGACCCTTCGGGTGCGGAACACCTGCATGCGGTATACCTGTGGCGTCAATGTTACCTGCAGTCATTAACACGGTCGCCTCTACATTCTATGCTAGTATATTTGCTGTAGTGAACTTGTTTCTATTTTCCGATCATTCAAGCTTCACAGATTGTTTTCTCATTAAATTGGTCAAAAGAAGGCTAATCTTCTAAAACTCCTCAATAAATCTGAGATAATATCCTTCTAAACCGAGAAACTACGAATCTCTATCCGATTATTGGGCTTCTTAACTATTGCTCTCTATACTTCTCTTTCTTCAAATTCTCTCAACATAAGTATAGTCGAGAAATCTTGAAGAACTAATCTGTAATTACTGTGTTAATATGGTCAACTTATCAAGTTGCTTGATCATACCACAATTTCACCGCTCAAGGTAAATTTGTTTTACTGCCAATAATGCATACTGTCAATAATAATATTGATAGGTTATCACAATAATTCATATGCTAACATTATTGTCGACATATCACATCTTCTTTCTGCTACCTTAATTGCTTTCTGGTTGCGTATTCTGACATTCGGTATAATTTAATGCTAAAATTTATTATGACCGAAAACTTATCTCATACTCATCTTTCTTCTATAAACTGACTTGGTAATCCTTCTATCTTCTTCACAAATGGTTCAAATTCACCAATGGATTTAGCACTGCTAAAAATACAAAAATTCTATTCTTTTCTCCCCCTTAATATCATAAAAAGAATTTATCGAGCTCGTGTCGAAAGGTTGAGAGTACTAATGCTCAATAATATTCCCAATGATATTCGCTGGCTGATTGAAACAAAAGTTCGTCTATCTGGTGAGTATCCCTATGCATATAAATATCTGACAGGTATGGGTAGAAGCACTTTCGCCAAGAAACGTAGAGCAAAAAGAATAGGCGGCTGCTATAAATGCGCTCGCTATAACTGTGACACTCGCTGTACTTCTTTAGGCTTTGTCTCAAATAACCGGGAAGATAAGATACCTTTTATAAAGAATGGCTTGAGTAAGGAATCTCTGGATCTAACCATTCATCAGATTCTTGAGACATATTCTAGTGGATATGTGCATCGAGAATTGATGTCTTTATGGCTTTTGTTCAAACATGAAGAGAAACATTATAGTCTGGAAAATATTGTATCCAGAAATCATGTTTGTCAACATTGTTCTTGATAGTACCGATGTACTGTACATAAATCTTATTGCTGCTGAAAGATAAAATTCATTTAAAACTCAACTGCTTTCTTGTCGGCACTTTTCTTCTTTAAAAAACGAGTTTCTATTCATAGCCAAGTGTATCTCATAACAAATGGCTTCTTCTGAGTCTTCTCAAGGTAGCAAACTTCTTCAACCCATCAGAACTGTGTGTGTTCTTGGTGGTTCTAGATTTGTAAACTTCCCTCCTAACATCTATGTTGTAAGCCAACTAGTCAAAGAGTTGGGAAAACACAAGATCAACATACTTTATGGAGGGACTAGTATCTATTTCTTTGATAACCTTTTGATGGCTGCTAAATGCTTTGATATAGAGGTGAGAAGTATCCTCCCTTTTTATATCACTTCATCAAGGATTGTCCAAGATTCTGCTACTTTAATGATAACTCTTTCTATTTATGACTGTTTGATGGCTATGTTATCTGGTTTCGATGCTTTCATTGTTCTTCCTGGTGGATATGGATGGAACTTTAATGACTGTATTCACCCTTGCTACTTGGGCAGAAGTGAAATTTCATACCAAACCTATTGGTCTGTTGAATTTCAACAACTGTTTCCACAACTTGCTTGAATTTCTTGGTGAAGGAGCGTATCAAACTTTTATATCTCCTTTACAAAGAGAAATATTCAAGTCTGCAAACACATCCGCTGAACTTATCAAGAAGCTTCAAGACAGCATGTCAACAGTTCAAGATTCTGTGGAAACTCAAGGATTCAAACGCAAGCAAGCCTTCGATCCTTCAGATCAATGAACTCATAGCCATACTGGGTGGTAGAGTTATGGAGTCTTATGCTCTGGAGACGCACCCTCCCTTTATGTAATATAATCTTGTATTAGTTGAGGATTCTCTTGTACTTGTCTTTATCTCCATTTTCTATTGTTTCTGATGGTTCTGTACTAGCTTCTTAATAATAACAGTATCCTCAACAGTGTGCTACACGAATCTTTGTCTACTTTTGTCTTTCAATGATACTAGAATTTCTATCTTTCCAGTATATTGATTTTTCAAAAGTATACTTCTTCTGATATAAGCTCGTTTCCCATATCGATACTACTTGAATTTTGACTGAGAAACTTCTTGATTCAGTCAAAATTTTATACGTTTAAAACTTTGCTCTGTGGTGGTTTTGAAACTTTGCCTAGCGGCATTTTGAATAACCACTAACCATATGACTTGAACAGTATAGCTATTAATAAATAGCTACACTAAACTTAAGGAATTTGTCAATGATTTGCCGAAAACACCTAGCTTGTGCTAGAGTTCTGGTTAAACAAGTTCTTTCTTGCTTCTGATCACAAGTGAGTACTTATAATCTCTAGAAGGCTTACCAATACTTATTATATGGCTTAATCGATTTGAGAAATCGAACATCTTGATGTCAACTCTTCTTCACTTGCTCTTTGATGCTTCTTCTCGCAATTGATTACTTCTGACCTTAAACTCATGAATGTTGGCTTCTGACTAGGTACTATGTAGGGCTATTCCACTATCAACTAGTCTCGTATGTACATAACTGATCTCAAACTTTGCCAACTTCTATTCAAAGTATCTAACTGGTAAGATACTCGGATTACTGACTCTAAAGGTTGTTACTTTCTCAAACTTTACTGCTCCGGTCAAGCTTCAAGACTCCATGGTATACACGGATACGTGTCTCTTATACACTGGAAACAGTTGCTTCTGATATAGAGCAACCTCTAGAGTCAGAATTTAGCTTTAAATTTAGTCTATTGGCATAACTTAGAATATTCGAATCTCTTCCTTGATCTAGGTCAAGGAATATCTCTCTGAAATGTGCCATCTGGTTAATTAACTGAATACTGGATCAGAAAAGGAGTTGAATATTTCACCATTGAAAAAGCAACACTAACTTCTTGATAAGGCACATTTCTTGACCAGTCGCTAACTAACTCGATAAGCTAGAGTTCGAACTAGAGTTCTGACTTCTGATAGGAGAATAGATCTGATACTACTAGAAGTCCTTGATACTGATCTGAGCATCTAGTCTGATTTCTAAGGTTCGGATATCTGAATCCTATTGAGCATAAACTTAGTAATTTGCTTATATTTAAAACTTTTATAAAAACCTTAACAACACTTAGCTGGTAGTCGGCGAGGTGTGAGTGTGGTGTAGTCGGTTTTTTTGAAGCTTTCTTTCTGAAACTTAAACTTTTAGTATACAGAGCACTTAAACTTTAGCTCTGATGCCACCTGTAAAAACCCGCTTACCAGAGTAAATTTTTAGCAACTTTTATTTCGAAAATACTTATAAATTTGTCGAAATCTTTTGCACTTAATTCGGGATGCTACTAAAACTTATCTTTCTGAAAATCTGTTTATCTTTTACTTTGTCTAACTGGCTTAGACATAAAGAAAACATATTTAATCAACTTGCATGTAAATTGGACGATATTCATACTGTTGAAATGGTGAAAATATGTAAGTATGAAAATACTTTACATGCAAGTTCGAATCTCGAAATGCGTAGCAGAAATCTGAAAAGCGTTACATAATATTATACAAAATGTATAAATAAATGTCCACATAAAATAGCAACTGTTTGCATCCACGACAACCACCACCACTGCTCAGCTCACACCTCTGCATCGACCCTGTTACCTGAAAAACACAATGGGGGTGAGTACTGGTCCTTTTGT